ACACTAGACGCAGTGAGATTGGAGGTTGTGGTGGTCTTTAAAGTGCCGGTGGTGAGGTGCTTAAACGCCTGAAGTGGAGTTAGCGAAGGGCCAAAAATCTTGTTAGGGGCTTACCTGAACTTCGTTTAATTTGACCACGAACTCGGGGGAGAAATGGGAGACGTCGACGAACATATTTTTAAGATTCGCAAAACAATCAAAATCACCATCCTCGTGGTCGATAGGGATGGGACCGTGTGTCGTCAAAAGGTGGAGTGCGTGTCCACTCTCCCTCAGCCCACTGGCGTTGAGCGCCGCTACGATCGAGGAAATGACGCTCTCCCATGGCGCATCCCCTTCCGGTGTGATGTGGAGGGGAAATTTTATGATGGTCGGTGTTGCAACGTCTGAACACAGGTTTATCTTGATTCTGCCCTCGATCGTGCGCAGAGGGCCGGGAATGAGAGCGGCGGCTGGTGGCATCACGCGATCGATGGGGGCAAGGCAAGGTGAGTACTAGTCGCCTGCATCAGTTGGCGCCGTCCATAAGGACCCCGGGTACGCATCCGGACATGAGCACTCATTCTCCCCGCTATCCCCGATAATGGCTTCGAACTCCTAGTCGACACCCTCGCTCCATTCTAACTATTTCTCCCCGCAACTTCACAGTCGTGATCTGCAATACCCCTTCCGGCTTACAGAATTTCAATGCTTTGAAAACTGAATGAGCGATAGAGGAGATGGGATTGCGCAGGAAAACCAACGTTATGCTACAGCGAGTGAGTCTAATGATTCGAATAAATGGCAATAAATGTACGAAGAAAACACTCAATGCTCTCCGGCGACCACACCGTCACACCGCGGACACAGCTCGTGCTCGTCAGCACGAGTGTACGTCCAGCAGCGCGGACATTTGTTCTGGGTAGCGGGGCGGACGCGGATGGATAGTTCGTGCTCGAAGGCTAGACGGAGTACATGAGCGTGTGAGCGATGGAAGCAGCAATGGTAAGACTTACCCGGAAGGGGCATCGAGGAAATATAGGACCACTCTGGCGCCGTCGCACCTAAGGAGCCTTCGTTTGTTATCTCGACATCGGATACGAGGAAGAGGGTCTTTAGGAAGCTCTCTATGTCCATAGCAACTTCGATGAGCGTCAAATTGAAGTACAGTGCCAAATTACCCACCCTCACGATCCAAAAGCTTCAGCATTTCAGGTCGGTCCGCCATACTATTCGGAACGATCAAGTCTACCTCTGCTTCAAGCGAGCTCTTCAGATTCCTATGCAAGTTCTCTGGTCACTTCACACTTCACCGGGCTGCGTAGATCCGCCACTCACTTGTCCTTGCGAGCTTTCTCCAAAAGTGAAAGCACCACAGTGCGAACGCGTAGCAGATCTGTCATATCTCGTTCCGCTTGAGGGTCTTGCCACTCCGTGCTCTGTCATCCCGGCTAAACATCCGCAACGTAGAACAGACGAGAAGAAGTCGACTCACCAACGGGGCCCACGTCTTCGTGAAGAAGGATAGTGGGGCTGAATCGGATTCGCCCTCGCCCTCTCGCAAAACACTGTGGATCTCCTCGGCGAGATGAGGCAGAACAGGCGCCATGGCAGAGGTCATCGTGTCCAGCACCTGCGCAGGGATGAGCACCCGACACACCCGACGTCAATCGCGCACTAGTACTCACGCGTTCGAGAGTAGCCACGACGGCCCTTCGCTCCTTGCTGTGAACGGCGTTCGCGTACAAACAGTCCTTTGTGATGTCGAGGTACAGCGACGATAGCGTGATGTTGGCAAAGTTGCTGAGAGCGTTCATCACTGCAAGTACATGTTAGACACCAGACTACAAGATGGACGAAAGGTGCGCACCCTTGGGGAAGCTGTACGAGGAATAGCCCTCCCGTGCGGTCGCCTCCAGTTTGTATAGCTCGTTCATGACGTACCGCTCGGCCTAAGTCGACGTTGAGTGGCCATCACATCCACCCCAGATCGCACTCACCAATCCCAAATCCTGCTTGTCTACGGGCTGCACATTTCTTCGAGTCGTGGCATCCCCAATATTGCCTAGGATGAACCTCGCAGAATTGCGGATCTTCCGCAGAGACTGCGCCGACTGTGCCAACACCGTAGGGCCAATAGACATGTCACGCCAGTACTCCACCGTCGCAGCCCACAACCGGAGCACATCCGCACCATACGCTGGTTCTTTTTTCACATTCTAGAAAGAAAGGCCCCGAATCAGTACACCGCGCGGTCGACCCAGACGAATACCACCACACGCACGGCACCTCCTTTGATGACGCTCATCGGGCTCACGACGTTCCCCAGCGACTTGCTCATCTTCACCCCGGCTTCGTCCAGAACCATACCATGCGTGATCAGCGTCCCATATGGGCTCGATGGCTTAGCGCCCGCGGGCGCAGAGCCCACGGCGGTCAATAGCTGACTTTGGAACCAGCCGCGGTGCTGGTCTGACCCTTCGAGACACACGTCGGCTGCGAACCGCCTCCCGTCTCTCGGTGCCTCGAGCATCGACCAGCTAGTCCCGCTGTCGAACCACACGTCCATCGTATCTGTTCCCTTCCGCCACGCGTCTGCCCCGCCCTTGGCTAGGAGCTCTGGGGTCAAAAAGTGCTCAACGGGGCCGTCCCACCAGTATGCGACCCCGCGCTCTTCGAGAACACGCAATATGTGGTTGAGTGATGCGGAGTCAAGCACAGGCTGGTCGGTGGGGACGTGGTATAGGGCAGGGATGGGGACACCCCAAACGCGTTGGCGGGAGATACACCATTCGGAGCGCGAGCGGACGAAAGACTCGAGGCGATTCCGGGCTGACGCAATGTTACGGAAAGGTCGCGAAATTAACTTGCAGAGTACTCACAGGCAGGCGGGAAGAACTCGACCTCTTTCACAGCATCGAGAGCATCCTCCTTGATACCGTCTAAATTCGCGAACCACTGCGAAGTCGCCCTGCATATACAACCAGGCGACATTAGCTGCTACATTAAGGACGGCGAGGGGACCTCACGTTACGATGATGGGCTCGTTGGTCTTCCAATCATACGGGTAGCGGTGCTTGATCTTCTGCATCTTGACGAGGTTCCCAGTGCGCGCTAGCAGCTGCACGATTGCCTTGCTGCCACCTTTTAGAACATCCTGCCCGACAAGCAAATTTGCAGTATCGCTGCCCACGGCATGAGCGACCTTGTCCGCGAACTTCCCGCTTTCGTCTACATGGCACATCATATCCGTCGTCGACCCTTGGAGAAGGCCTAGGCTGCGGAACGCGAGGTAATCCTCCGCTCCGTGTGCGGGTGCACAGTGGACGAGACCGGTTCCTGATTCTGACGTGACGTGAGAAGCGGAGATGACGCTTAAAGCAGAAGCATCCGTGGGGCACAAGGAGGAGAATAGTGGAATGTAAGTGATGTCCACTAGATCAACACCTGAAGCAAAGATGAGCACATCCGCATGAGTTTAGAAAGGAAAGGTTCGACCGGCCTTGAATGTCTGCGACGCTTTCGACAGGGCCAATGACGTCTTCTAGAGCCAGGATACGATCCTTTGCCACAATCATTACCCCTTGCTTGCTTTGGGTCTTCACCACAGAGTAAGTTAGTTCAGGATGCACAGCAATGCCCTACATCAAGCCTATTATCATTGTCTGAACGAACAAGAAGCAAGCACGTCAGTTCGTACCATGTTCGCCGTTAAAGTCCAAGGTGTTGTTGTCCAAACCAGGAGGTTCACAGAATGCTCTGCGATGATTTGGCGGAGCACCATGCTCCGAGTTTCAGTCCGAGGATCAATTGCGAAAGTCACGTAAACAGAATGAGAGACATGATCGTCTCTATAGACCAACTCTGCCTCTGCCAGAGCAGAATGAGACGACGGAGAATAGTGAACCGGCCGATAATGCCGGTATATGAGGCCTACGGTCAATGGGAGTCGTTAGTACGACGTTCAGATGGGCGAATGCGATATACCATTCTCGACCATCTTCTGGAATATGCGAAGCTGGCGTACTTCGTACTGGTGATCTAGTTAAAACCTTCAATATGGTCCTGGTGGATATCAAAATCATTTGATGGGCACCTAGTGTACGATAAGTTGTCTCTGGGCTCCAATCCGCCATGATTCCAAATTGTTCGAATTCTTCCTTTTGCGTTTGCATCTCGCGCTCCGCCGTAGCTTTTGCCGCAGATCGTATAGTATTAGCCGGGAGCGAAAGGACGTCTTTCTATACCGCGTCGTGGTTAGCAAGGTTGCAATACGACTGTCTTGAACTCACTCCAAGTTCTTGTAGGGCCTTATTCTCAATAGGAAGGCCGTGACAGTCCCAGCCGGGGAAGTAGCTGGGATCGATAGGCATCACAGCAAGCAATACGCGACGAGCGAAGTTCACTCACTGTACTTTATCGCCTATGAGGACGTGATACCTATTAATGATGTCTTTAATAATCTTGTTGAGCGCGTGTCCTGACGAGGAGACGTTAACTCTCAGCAAATCCCTGCCAGGGTTCAGACCAACCCATGTGTAAATGACCGTTTGCATACGGGGGGCCATCGTGCATGACAAATACCGGCCCATTCGCGTTCTTCTGCTACTAGAGAGACGCGTTTAACGCGACCACAGCGCACAGCAGTGAAGGACAGACCTGCCATTGGTACAGGTCTTCACAAGTTCTCTTGCGGAATGGCTCCTCGCTCTTAGAAGGGTCGGCCCAGAGCGGAAACGAAGTCCGAGGCAAGAGAAGTGTTTTGGAAAATGCCTTGGAGTCTAATTTATTGTCCGAGTTAAATGGGGCCGAGGAAGAGAACTGCCGCGTTCTTCGAGGTAGTCGCGTCCATCGTATATTGGCGGCAGGCCTGACCGCCCCAAGGGTCATCTGGACAGTATCAAGGACAAGTGACAGACTCGGTCGATCGTTGTAGTGGATGGACAACTTCAGTTTAAAGGCAAAGGGTAACGGAGGGCAATTGTTTGTATATAGCAACTTTACAGAGCACTTTTCATAAGTCTTTGCTAGTATATCGGATAGTACAGCCGCCTGTCAAGGTGCTTACTCAATCACTGCGCGCGGCAGAGCTGGGTTCGACTCCCAGGCAGAGAGTTTTTGATAGATTTCTTCAACCACCTGAAAGCCCCCCCTTTTTTGAAGTCTTTTAGTCGACAGCAACACAACTACCTCGCAGTCACTGAGCACACTTGAAATGGGCCTCAGAGGACTTGGGGATGACTCTCGTTTATTTTCTTACAGATATACATCTCGACTCGACCGTGATTGTCACGAACACATTTGTGAAAAGGGTGTAAAGTGCAAGGGAATAAACAGGTGCTATGGTTAAAGGATGAGGATGGAAAAAGAAGGGTGAAGTGGAAGGAACATGGGGTAGGGTGTGGATGGTGGCGCCAAGGTGGATGTATTTTCATGCCCAAAGCAACGACGACAACTCGGCAGTGCGTGCACGGCAGAGCAACATAGCGAGCCCAAAGACAAGGACGATAACAGCTAGAAGGCACTGAGCAGGTATAGCAGGATGACGACGGCATGCGTAACGAGCAAGCGCGAGATAGAGCGGCACGGCCAGCGACGAAAACGACAAATCGAGATTGACGATCGTTCCATTGTAGGAGACAGGATGCAGCATGATGACGGAGGCATAGACGACGAGATTGCGCGGGTAGGGAGTGAGGAAAACCCATTTGATAATCATAAGACCAAGACATAAAAGACACAGAACAGGACGAAGATGGTTGGGTGATTGGTTGGTTCCAAAAAATAAACAGTGATGCGGTGTGTGTGGAAGGATATGCGATAGGATGGTAAAGGTGTCCGTTTGATATGCAGTTTTAATGTGTCGCAGTGGAAAGGTGGTGATGGATTGCAAGTAGGCAGTGGACATCCAGTGAGCAACGTCCGGCGACGCGTCTTACGAGTCTTCTCTTTGGTCCTCGACGTCTCCCTCGGCAGCCTCGTTCCGCTCTCGCTCAATACGATTCCTTTCCTTCAGGCTGGGCAAGTCCTGCAGCAGGGCGACCTGGGTCGATTCTTCCCACCGTTCTAGTGCCCACTCCCTCACCCATATACTCACCTGCGAAGAATCATCAACACGAAGGATATAGAAACAAAAGGTATCGACAAACCTTCAAGAACCGCTTGCCAGCGTACTTCTTGTAGAATGATTCGTGTCGGACAGGTTTGAGAATGTAGTTCAACATCAAGTTGGCAGTAGGAATCAGCGAGCTCTCGGCGTAGGATGAATAGTGAGCCAAATTCGGGGTCTGCAGACGATGAAACTCAGGGGTGGTATCACAGGCGGCCCACGGAGCGACTCACCCATTTATCGTTGCCGAGAATGAGTCTTGCCAGCCAGATAGCTGCAGCAGCCACCAAAGATGGCGGCGTGGCAAGAAGTCTCCACTCCAAAGTCCCGACCTCGAGGAGATACTTGCCAATGGTCCGTGCCTTGACGTCGTACTCGTCAGCCTTGCTGATACGCCTCAGGTAATGCATCGGGTTGGGGTATCCCAAGTTCCAGTCAATGGTCTTGAGAACATATCGCTCAGCCATGAGGATTTCGGACTCGCTGTATGACGAATCAGCGCAGTGGAGGAAGTGCGAGACCGAAGGCGCGACGATCTCCTCGACTTTCGATGCAATGAAGAGGCAGGTGATGCCGACAAGCTGGAGCTTGGCGAGAGAAACCACACGTGCTGAGAGGAAGCGGTCGATGATGTTGACGCAGAGGAAAAGGGTTTCTGGGAGGAGACGGAAGCGCGCGTGGACTTGGACCAGCCAGTCAAGTAGGATTCCACGCATCGACCACGCGAGATCTTTTTGACTTTCCATGTAATTGGGATTGGGAAGCGTCGTGAGCTGCAAATGCCCTTTAGCCGCGAACACAAAAACGGCGTGGAAGTGAGCAAACCTCAATCTCCTTCATGTACTTGAAGATTTCGGATACATATTCGCTGACCATCAGTGGGTCATCAGCATCATCTGCGTCGAGATCTTCCCATTCATCTCCCTCAGGGTCAGCTTCGGGCGAGCTCTCCCGAGCGGCCTCGAGGGCGGCAGCAACCTCGGCTTCGTGCTCCAATTGCTCTTCGAAAAGCTGAGCTTCGTCTGGAGTGTCCGATGACGTCCGTCGCTTCTTGAACACGCGATTATCTTCGATCTCATCCTGAATCTCCTGCTTGAGAGTCGAACGAGACGATTGGCGTCTGGAGAACTCAGCACGTTGTACCTCGTGAGTGATGATCGTCTGCGATGATACAGCCGACCGGCGGGTAGAAACTCTGCGGACCGGAGCTGCTGCTGACTCCGGCTCGTCCAAGTGATCGTCAATGGTCATCGCGTCCTCTTCTTTCGATCGAACTTCGACAACTTCCTCCTTGACGTTGTCTAATTGCCGAGCCTGCGACGCCGCAGTGGTACTCTTCGTGGCATGGCGAGCAGTAGTGGCAGAGACTGCCCGTAGTGGTTGGCGTGATACCGCCGTAGCAGCAGGTTTTGACTTTATAACGACACCGTCAAATTTCTCCTTGGGCGGAGCAACCTCCTTCCCCTTCCCCTTGAGCTCTTTAGCAGGCGGGATGTTAGTCGTCTTATTCTTATGCTTCGTTACCTCGCCGAGCGCCTCGCGTTTTCGTTTGCCCTGTGCGGCGAGATCCAGTTTGTTCTCATCCTGGCTGCCCGCTTTTGCTCTAGAAGCGGCGGTAGGTGCTGTGGCTCGGCCAATCCCAGCCGAAGTAGCTGTGGCAGCGGTAGCGGTAGATGATGATGGGGGTTTCGCACGGGAAGCAAGACGTGTCGGACGAGCATTTGCATTTTCATTATCCTTCTGGGTCGTGGTACGGGTCACCCGCGTTACACGCCGTGTCTGATGACGATGAATTTGTCAAAATCACTGACGAGAACAGTCAAAACAAATCTCCTTACAGGTATGTTTGAGGACATTTCGAGTGAAATGTCACAGTACACAGTCTAAAAGATTATAGATGAAAGAAATGAAGGAAGGATAGACAACAAGCTGAAGATGCTCAAGAGGTGGAGGTGAACGACCTTAACAAATCCGGAGTTACCCATTTTCAACCATCTACACAAAACATGAACAAACAAACGCGGGCGCGTTGCGTCACGTGCTCCCGACTATTGTTCACGTTTCCGCCACCACAGCCACAGGCGCGGATAGCGCTTTGACCACAACCGCAGCCTTGTTCTCTGGTCGTGCACACAGCAGTCACGTTGCGACTATACTTGTATGTAGCTGGGCTCTTGTTAGTGGGGCGCTGCTCTTGAAGACGGACAAGCGTCCCGTTATTGTTTGAGCACGCGTTACGTTTGTGACCTCGCGGGTTCATCATGTTATCTGATCGGCAAAATTCCCATCTTTCGGCCGCGGATTCCAAGTCGACCACGTTCATCGCCAAGGTATAAGGCCAGTGACCTCTCCTTCCGAACCTGATCTGCACTCGACTAATCAGTCCAACAGTCCGGTCTTTTGCACGAACGCATTCGCATTTACGCATGTCTTGAGGAAAACCATCAAAAATGGCAGCAATCGGTGGGATGGAGCCGCCAGAGCCTGCCCATCTCTATCCACTGATCCGCCCGATGCTATTGCGGTGGTCCCAGAGGTATTCTCTTGTCCGAACCTCACTGACTCGGATAGTATGGATGCTAGCTGTTGGCGAACACCGCACAAGCTGCGTTTCGAGGGCTCCACCTTGCGACGAAGGTCTTGTTTGCAGCCGTTAAGCAAAAACAGCACCTGGCTATGGAGACCCGCGCATCGTGGCAACTGCAAGATTGCCGCCAGTCTGATCAATGATTCATCTCGAAAGGTCATTATGCAACATTGATAATGTCTTGGAGGTCCGTCATGTGGCGTTGAAAGGGTACCTGGCACCCCGTACAGACATACGTGGGTGCCCAATGCCCACGGGCCCACCGTCTGTCAAACTCATGATGCGTGTGTCAAGATATTTGGGCACATGGGTTCTACGAAATACGGGACGCAATGCTATGGTCAGCTTCAAGTTCTCTGCCTCGTTCCCGGCATCTTGCCGGGGCTTGTGTTATAACGGTTCTCTGGAAATAGGAAGACTTGGATGAGAGGGGTCAGCAATCTCAAATACTCCGAGAACGCGACCCCGCATTATCGACGAGTCGGTGGCGCGAAGTATTATCGCCGCTTCAAAAAATGGTTCCGTCCAAGTGTTCACCCACAAACTTTATCTGGTATGGTGTTCTCCTTTGTTCCCGACGTTCAACACTCTTGCTATGCGCTAAAAGTCTGTGCTTTCTGTCTAGTTAGTGTTCGTGTGTGGATTGGGATCGTACGAGGGTCCAGGAGTGCTAACTTTGAGCTATCATGCGATTCCGTTCCTCACTCTTTCGCACCTCTGTGTACAGGCGCAGCATTGCTCATTGCAGCTCCTGAAGTGGCTTCGAGGTGCAACATCAATATTTTCGTGTCACTCTGTAGCGCAGGCCATCCAACCTGTTATCTACTTTCCGATGTGTCCGGGATACGTACAGTTCACAATATCATGGGTTAACTCAATCACCCCCACCCACTTCTACGTCGATGGCGTCCTCAACACTACCGAAAGTCACTTGTATGGGGTGGGTAGAAGATGATATAAAGGCGTATGGTCAGCAGTTCGCAGCCCACCCCGCATTACCTCTAGCGAACATGACTGAAAAGACTATAGCGAAAACAGAAGATGTCGCCAACAAGACGTTTGATTTCGTGATTGTCGGTGGGTGTCAGCTGCTCAAGGACATGATTTGCGGTAGCTGATCTTGGCTTGAATAAGAGGAGTAAAAATCACTGCTACTTACAACGGCAATACTTTTTGAGTTGCTGGCTTTTGCCTGGGCTCTCCTTGCCGAAGTTCTTCAGATGTCAGTCTTGGTCCTGGAGGTCGGCAATTTTAACCTCGATGATCTTGCTCTGTGTCTGTTGTGCCTTGTCTTTGCTACTGGCAGTACTCACGGTCAGACGTACCAAGTATCTGGAGGGGTATGAGCTGGCTCTAAGTACGCAAAATGTCGCGTTCTTGTGTCGCCGTGTCAGTGTCGTATCGGTCCACCATCATGCA